TCCGGCTGACCACCGCTGACTTCTGTGAATATCTCTTTCAGGCTGAGGACCGGGATGACATGCTGGGCTGGATCAGAGCGATCCGAGAGAACAGCAGGGCCGAGGGCGAGGTGAGGGCCCGGCCCAGCCCGCACGGGGCCAGGGAGGCCAGCGCGGGCCCCGGGGCCACCGCTCACCTGCCAGGGACCTCCCTTCATCAGGCTGAGCCTCGGTCCCCCCTGCCATTTAGATGGGCTGCCAGCTGCGCCCACCTGGGGTTTGGTGGCTCGAAGAGCACCGGCGTCTCCAGGCTGCCGTGGCGGGCAGTGACGATAGCTCTAGGAATGATCGTCATGATTAGTCCTATTAATTATTGTTATGAGCGCAGGCTCTGGCACAGAGAGGTCAGCCCCAGGCCAGCCTCAGCTCCCCGCTGCAGGTCAGTGGGGGTGTGTGTGTGCGTTTCCTACGGAATGTGGTACAGAATGAGGTGTCCTTGTGCCAGGACCGGCCTGTCTGCAGGGACATGAACACATTGACCTTGGGCGGCGGCCAGGAGGCCGGGCCTTTGGCAGCGGGCAGCAGGCCCTGAGCCAAGGCTGTGGCAGGGACTCTGGAGAATTGGAAAAAGTGGTGCCCCTTCCTGGGCAGCTGCACACCAGGGGCCCGGGGCTGGTGTTTCCGCTCCACTCGGCCCCTCCTTGGCCAAGTGCCCACACACAAGTATCTGGACGCACCTGCACAAGATTGCGTGGGGCCTGGGCATGGGGCTCTGCCTGGCCATGCGTGCCCAGCCTCTGGGCCACAGACCCTCTTGTTGGGGACATAGTCTCCCACTGAGCCAGGCTCTCCCCCCACCCCCACCCCCGGCCCCCACGACATGGTCTCTTTGCTCCCGGCAAGGAGGAGCGTGCCTGGGATCTGGGCCCTGCTCTGGGAGGCGTGGCTGGGCTGTCCCCAGCAAGGCATGGTCAAGGGTCCCAAGCCGCTTTCCTGACCGCGATAGCTGCCCTCCTGGGGCACCTCTCCTGGGCCTTGGCAGGGCTGTGAGGAGTGCTGTGCGCAATTCTGCACCCAAACCCTAAGGTGGCGATGTTATCCCTCCCATGTCACTGCCCAGGGGACTGAGGCTCAGAGAAGCTAAGTGGGTGACCCAGGCCACACAGCCCTGGTCGTGCTCGCTCCAGGGTCTGTGCCTTCCAGCCGGCAGGTGGAGGAGAGGGCGGCGAGGCTGAGGCAGGAGCCGGGATGGGTTCTGGGGCGGGCTGTGCGGGCACTGACCACATCTGCGCTCTCTTCCGCTCCTCCAGGACCCCGGCTGTGCCAACCAAGCTCTGATCAGCAAGAAGCTTAATGATTACCGAAAAGTGAGGTGAGCCCAGCCCCGTGGAGCAGGCCTGGCTACGGGGGGCCGGAGGGAGGCACTCCAGGCCTAGGTCATCCTCCTGGCTCACCTCCAAGGAGGGAAGCCCCCGGGGACAGGAAGGGGGGTGGCAGGGAACTTGGGGCCTCCAGTCCCCAGAAGGGCAAGGAGGGTTTGCCTCCGGGTAGAGGGGAGGTCCCTCGTGGTGGGAGGCCAGGGAAGGTGACATGCTGGGTCACCGGATGAAGACCCCCTCCTTTCCCCCTCTTCCTGTGCAGCCATAGCTCTGGGCCCAAAGCTGATTCCTCCCCAAAAGGCTCTCGGGGCCTGGGGGGCCTCAAGTCTGAGTTCCTCAAACAGAGTGCAGCGCGTGGCATCAGGACTCAGGACCAGCCTGCAGGGAGCAAGGGTAGGAGGCGGCTGCTAAGGGGGTGACATGCATGCGGCTGGGAGAGTGAGGTCAGCTCTGTGAGTCTGCAAGGGAGCAGAAGGCCTGTGAGAGTGTGTGTGTGTGAGTGTGTGTGTGTGTGAGTGGGTGTGCGTGTGTGTGAGTGGGTGTGTGTATGTGAGTGTGTGTGTGAGTGTGTGTGTGAGTGTGTGTGAGTGTGTGTGTGAGTGTGAGTGTGAGTGTGTGTGTGAGTGTGTGTGTGTGAGTGTGTGTGTGAGTGTGAGTGTGAGTGTGTGTGTGAGTGTGTGTGTGTGAGTGTGTGTGTGAGTGTGAGTGTGAGTGTGTGTGTGAGTGTGTGTGTGTGAGTGTGTGTGTGAGTGTGAGTGTGAGTGTGTGTGTGAGTGTGTGTGTGTGAGTGTGTGTGTGAGTGTGAGTGTGAGTGTGTGTGTGAGTGTGTGTGTGTGAGTGTGTGTGTGAGTGTGAGTGTGAGTGTGTGTGTGAGTGTGTGTGTGTGAGTGTGTGTGTGAGTGTGAGTGTGAGTGTGTGTGTGAGTGTGTGTGTGTGAGTGTGTGTGTGAGTGTGTGTGTGTGTGTTTGAGTGTGTGCATGTGTGTGCCAGGGTTATCCCGCTGTGTCTGCCCATATGTGGATGCCTGTGAGGTTCTGGGGTTCTCAGTCTCAGGGTTGGAAGGGCCTGGAGCCTGATTTCCCTCCAAGACATCCCTGGACAGTCACCCAGTCTCTGCTGTGTCCCTTCAGGGGCAGGAGGCTCGTTCTCTCGGGATGTAGCCTTTTCCATCATCACACACTCGTTTGGCTATAGGAAGCCCTTCCTTTGGGTATGATAGACTCAATGGCTCTGCCTCATCGGGTTAGCCCTGGAGGCCACACAGAGGTCCTGACCTAATGCTGAGGCCTCCCTCCTCCGGGTTAGAGCCCTCTTTCCTTTGGCCTTCACACTTGGTATATTGTTTCCCATCAGCCCTCAGCATCCCAGTGGCTACTCTGGCAGAGTCCCCACATGTCCAGACACGTGTGAATGCTGTGGGTGAGTGTGGCCGCTCCCCCTCCCTGGGCCCAGCTCACCCTGGGGCTCTCTGCCTCCCCCTCCAGATGACAGTGTTGCTGCCCCCAAAAGCCCCTGGGGCATTAACATCATCAAGAAGAATAAGAAGGCAGCCCCCAGGGCATTCGGGATCCGGCTAGAGGAGTGCCAGCCAGCCACGGAGAACCAGGTGGGTCCCCACCACGGGGCAGAGCAGGCAGGGGAAGGGGGAGACAGAGCCGAAAGGGACTTGGTGGCAGCTGTCCACCTTCTCTCACAGACACAGCCGGGGAAGGGGAGAGAGGGAGCAGCAGAGCTGAGGCCGAGCCCGGAACCCCTGACCCCTGGCCAGTGCCCCTCCTCAGACCAGGGCGAGGCGTGGGGGTTACTTCTAGCCCCAGACTGGAGGCGGCGAGGGCCTTTGTCCCCATACAACAGTGGTTCTCAACCTTCCTAATGCCGTGACCCTTTAATACAGTTCCTCATGTTGTAGTGACCCCCATTTCATTGCTACAAATTGAACATAATTAAAGCACAGTGATTAATCACAAAAACAATATGTAATTATATATGTGTTTTCCAGTGGTCTTAGGCGACCCCTGTGAAAGGGTCGTTCGACCCCCAAAGGGGTCGCAACCCACAGGTTGAGAACCGCTTTTCTAGAGGAAGGCAAGAGAGTCAAAATCAAAGAATGAGATGTGACAATAAGACCAGACATTGGGAAGGTGCAGGACCATGAACAAGGAATGCAGTGGCCTCTCGAAGCCAGAAAAGGTAGGACCAGACTCTCCCCGGGAGCCTCCAGGAGGAGCCAGCCCTGCCCACACCTGCGTTCGACCCCCAAAGGGGTTTTGACCCACAGGTTGAGAACCGCTGCCCTAGAGGGTTCCTGGCAGCAGCTGGGCCTTGCACTGGCCCCGGCTTGATCTCCCCACCTCCTCTGGCCCACTGGTGGAGAATGCTGCTCTCACCCTCCCTCACACCCTGCCCTGCCCGTGTCCCCAGCATGTCCCCCTGATCGTGGCTGCGTGCTGTCGCATCGTGGAGGCGCGAGGGCTGGAGTCCACGGGCATTTACCGAGTGCCCGGCAACAACGCCGTGGTGTCCAGCCTGCAGGAGCAGCTCAACCGCGGGCCCGGTGACATCAACCTGCAAGATGAGGTGGGCATGGCTGGGGGAGCCGGGGGAGGGGGGCTGAGGTGGTGTGTGTGTGTGTGTCTTTTGTGCTTATCGTACCCTGCAATGTGCCTAGCACTGGGCCAGGGCACCAAGATGGGTAGGACAGGACTTGCCCTTGCTGTCCAGCCCTGAGGATGGCATCGCCCCAACTGAAGTTGAACAGATAGATGCCATCAGGGCCTAGGAAGCCCTGAGACAGAGGCCGGCTGGCAGCAGGGTTTGGGGCCTTAAGGATGAGCAGAGTTCACGAAAAGCAAGAGAAAGCCAGCCCGGTAAGGGCATTCCAGGCAGAGGGATGGCCTCAGCAAAGGCATAAACTCTGAAGGCTTGTTGTCAGTCTACATACCTTTTCTGTCAAGGGCCACGCAGTAAGTATTTTGGGATTTAGTTACTACACAGTCTCGGTTGCATACCTTTCTTCGCTTCCTCCTCCTTTTTTTGTTTTGTTGTCTCTTCCTCCCCCGCTCCCAATGATCCTTTAAAAATGTAAAATCCATTCTTAAAATACGAAAAAACAAAAATAGAAAAGAAAAATAAATAAAATTCATTCTTAAGGGCCATGCGGGAACTGGCCGCTGGGTGGATGTGACAGATGGGCCGTGGTTTGCAGGCTCCTGGCTTAGAAGGAGGGAAGAATATGGTGTTTTCTGAAGTGGCCAGCAATTTGGGGGCTGCAAGAAGGGAAAGGACGTGGCTGATCACAGGAGGGGAGCTCCTGACTCTGACAGCCACACTTGAGAGTTTGCAGCAGGGCGGTGGTTCTCAAACTGTGTTTTCCAGAATCTTACGTTTCTCTAGAGGGGCTGTGGGAGGCCAGGGCCGGGTCAGGACCCCCGATCCTCGCTTGAACTAGAGCAACCCCACCTTATGGGGTTTCCATATACAATCGGGTTTTCACGTGTTATTTTATTTAACAAAAGGGGCTCCAGCTGAAAACGAGGTTTTGGGAAACCACGGATCTGGGCACTGAAGTCTCATGAGTCACATACCATGAAACCTCTTCCTGTCCTGGGGGAGGGAAGGTGGAGACAAGGCAAGTGTGTGTGAAATCGTGGGCAAGAGAAAAGGCTGGTCTCGCATCAAGGACCAGATTGTGCGACGAGGAAGGAGGATGCTGAGTGCGGGAGCAGATGGCAGGCTGGAGTGTTTGAATCTTTGAAGGAGGAATGGGAAGGGGGGCAGGCGGGCAGGAAGGCAGCCCAGGCAGGCATGATGGCATTTTCTGAAATCCCAGAGAAGGGTCCAAGCCTGGGGGCAGAGAATAGACCTCACTCCTGGGCGTGGCAGTGGGGAGGGCGAGACAGAGGCTTTCGATGGCTTCACTGAAGCCTTTGACCTTGATCCAGTGCATAATAGGAAGCCTTCGATGGGGAGGCATAGATGAGAGTGGGGTCTGAGGAAGAGAAGAGCTTCCGTTTGTGCCAATGCAAGGCCCAGAGCAGGGCGCCTAGGAAAGAAATCGCTGATATATTGGAAGTGGACTCAGTGGTCCTCGGAGAAAGAGGAGGATGGATGGGAGCCGCTCTGAGAGTTGGCTGCATACGAGGGAGGAAGGAGGGGCAAGAAGAGCCAACAGTTTGAGCTGGGGCTGGTAGTATCTACCTCTGGCAGAAATTGGGAAATAGGACAGAAGAGGGAGGCTGTGGCAGGGAGTGGCCCCATTGGATTTGGGGTGATGATGAGTCACCCACCTGGGGTGATGGCATCATCAGATACGAGACCAAGAGTGGACTGGTGAGTGGGCAGGGGGTCATGCTGGGGCTTGCAGGTGAGACGATGGAGGGAGCTGCTATGTGGGTATCAGGAGCTGCTATGTGGGTATCAGCAGTCCAAGGACCAGGCCCTGAAGTGGGCAGATTGAGGCTGGGGACGAGGGGTAGGTACTTGCACAGAGGAAGGGTCACGAAACAGGCAAGGCCATGAGAAGAGCCCACGCATCAGGGCCAGGGGGTGGTGGAGGGAAGTGGGCAGGTGCTGACCAGGAAGGGGGAGTATACACTGAAGCACATTAGCTGGGCCACAGCCCAGGAGAAGAGGGCCCAGGGGTGGGGGCGTGGCCAGCTATTGGGTGTGTGGTTGGGCCTTGGGTGTCAGTGGTGGTGTTCGTCCGTGGGGTGGTGCAGTGCTGGAAGTCAAGCTTTGCGTGTGGGTGACTCTGACTCCTGCTGACGCTGTGGGGAGGGGAGGACATGTGGCATGGCCGGCATTAAGCTATGGATCCACTGCAACGAGTTTGTATTTTGTGGAGCCGTGTGTCTCTGAATGTGCCTGTTGTTGAGGTGAAAGCCTGTTGTGTGTCTGTGTTGTTTTCTGGGCACGAGTTTCTCTGAGCAGTTCCCATCAAGGGTGTTATCCTGGACTTTGTGCAGGGTGATGGTGCCCCCTGGTGGAAAGAAGGGACAATGACCCAGCTGTTCATTCTTGTCTTCAACAGCCATTGAATCAGATCAGGGTTTTCTCAACCGTGAAACTTGGGACAGAATAATTCTTTGTTGCAGGAGGCTGTCCTGTGCATTGGAGGGGGGTTAGCAGCATCCCCGGCCTCCAGCCACTAGATGCCAATGGCACTGTCCCTGAGGGGCAGAGCCACCCTGGTTGAGAGCTGCTGACTTAGACCTTTTAAGTGCCAGGCTAGCAGAGCTGCTGGGTGATAGGAACACAGTGGGGATAGGACAGATAGGATCCCTGCCCCTCATGGATCCCTGCCCCTCGTGGATCCCTGCCCCTCGTGGATCCCTGCCCCAGGCAGGCAGGCATGCAGGCAGGCAGGCAGGACAAGGAAACAAATGCACACGATAACGACACATGGTGGCGCGTGCCATGGAAGAAACAAAGGGCTGTGGCACAGGTGGCAGGGCGGTGGCGATGGCGCCGCTTTAGCTGTAACAGTCGGAACAGGCCTCTCTGAAGAGGTGTTAGGAGCTCGTCATCGGCAGGCTGTGGGAGGAGAGCTCTAGGAGGGGGCCAGCAAGTGCAAAGGGCCTGGGGCAGGAAGGCGCCAGCGTGAGCGTGTGCTGTGTCAGGGACAAGGAGAGAGGTGTGCACGGATGGCTCTCCTCTGCTAATCAGGAAGCAGGAGTTGGCACTAAGTAGGCACAATGGAGGTCCAATGGGCCGGCTTGCAGGGGGATGGGTTTCCTTCCCTGTCCCTCTCAGTGCCTGTACCAAAGAAGGCACCTGGTACTTTCTGTGGGTGAGCAAATGTTGGCGCTCATTGGGCTGGCTGGAGCGGAGAGGGACTGGGGCCGGGTGGTCAGGGGGCTAGCCAGGGACTCTGTTCGGCTCCCCCATGAGTGGCCTTTGCCCAGAGATCCCTGGTCAGGGCAGAGCTTGGGTGTAAGTGGACCCCAGAGAAGGCCTGGCCTGGGCTGGGCTCTAGGGCTGGACTAGCATGGAGGCAGGGCACCCGGGCGGGCCCTACCTGTGGCCTGACTTCTTTGCTCCCTCTGCAGCGCTGGCAAGACCTCAACGTGATCAGCAGCCTGCTTAAGTCCTTCTTCCGAAAGCTACCTGAGCCTCTTTTCACTGACGGTGAGTAGGGGGTGGGAGTGGAGAAATGGGAGGAGGGACGACACTCTGACCACTTTTTAAATTGGGTTTGTTGGTGTTATTGGAGGGGGTTTGTTTTAATACAAAAGAAACATGCGCTTGTGAAAAACAGGTAGTGCAGATACAAACCAACCCAAGGTCCCTGTCCTCCTCCTCCTCCCGTCCCCTGAGGTTACGGTAACATTCTCTGAGCGTTTCCTCTGTGCCATGCACTGCTCCCTACAACGACTCCCTGAGGCAGGCACTTCTATCTCCACCTCACAGATGAGGAAACTGAGGCACACAGAGGTTAACTGACCTGCCCAGGGCCTCACAGGTTGTAGGGGTTGGAGCCAGGATTAGGGCCCAGGCATCTGGCTTCAGGGCCCAGCTTTGAGCATCTGCGGAGCTGCTGGTGAACAGTGTGGTGTTTCCTTCCAGACCCTGTGGCACACAACAAAGACACATAGGTATTCAGTGGTGTGCTGATAAATATTTAACGTCTGGCTCCCTGGGGTGGGGGTGGGGCT